AGCAGGTGGAACTTGGGGCCTCCCTCTGCTCTGGTCAACACTCGGCCACTGCAGCGAGGTCCGCGGTACACAGGCTGCCTGCAGAGCCAGGCCTCCCAGCTGAGGCACCAAGGGAGGTGCAAGGTGTCCTGTGTGGGAAACTCCCTCTGGTGCCTGGCTCTGGGCTTGGCGGGGGCACTTCCTCCCACCTTCCAGGTGGGAAAGGGGGCTGGGGCCAGGGAGGTCACGGAGGCTGCCCCTACCTTCCAGCAGACATGCGGAGCGGAGTGAGATTTGCGGCCCTCCTCCCGTGTCCCGTGTCCCCTGCCTGGCTGTCATCATTGCTGTCATGGCAGTCACTGAGGGTCCAGCTGCTGAGGAGGGACTGGCTCTGGGGCTGGGGGCCCAGCAGATCTCTAGCTGAGACCCCTCCCCGACCTCAGGCTGTCACCCCAGCCAGTCCCCGGGTTAGCCCTCCCCTGGGATCCCCAGGCCTGGAGGGACAGATGAGGAGCCGCAGTCCCTGGGGGCGCCCCCAGCTCTGCTCCCTCTGTCTGCCCTGTTGAGCTGCCTGGAGGTGGAGGCACTCTGTGGCTTTCTCCTGTGCCTTGAGTGGCCACCCAGCTTCCGGGACCACCACCTGGAGCACCCTTCTGCCTGAGGCCCAGCGTAGGAGGGGTCATTCCCACCCACCCCTTCCTGGTGCCCACTCCACTCTGGCTGGCCGAGCCGGTCCGGCTGCCTGCCCGGTCACCCGATCCGCCCTGTAAATTTTACGGCATGTGGGGCGGTGGCTGGCAGGCCTGGTGGGGGCGGGGGCTGCTCCTTAAAGGAGCCTGCAGAGGGTGCCCTGTGGCCCCCAGGCTTCTCCCCTGTCCTGGGGTGAAAGGGGCTAGGGTGGAAGGCACTCCTGCATTCTCAGCGGAGAGTGGGAAGGCGGCCAGGTGGTAGCATCGCAGTGGAGAGCCCAGAAGAGGCCGCGGCAAGTGACAGCGAGGAGGGGGCCAGGAGCCGGGAGCTGGGCAGGGCCGTGGGCTGGAGGGGTCTGGGACCTGCCCAGCAGCTGCAGTGGCCCTCGCTTAACCCCACCTGTCCCACTCCAGGACTCCTGTGCCCTGCGCCTGCCTGGGAGCTCCTGGGAGGGAGAGGGCAAAGCAGCGCCATCCGCGCCTGAGGTGTCCAGGGGAGGTTTCCGTTCATAGGGTGGAGGGTTCGAAGAAGGGGAAACTTGGGGGAGAAGAAGAGGGAGTGGCTCAGGAGACTGTGGGGGCTCTGAGAGGGAAGGAGACTGGGGTGAGAGAGGCTTGCCCCACCCCACTCCTATTCCTCTTGGGTCAAGTCTGACCTCCCAGAATCCACATCCACCCTGGGGTGTGGGGGGCGCGGATCAGCACTTGTTGGGGCTGCTGGGGCTGGCTTGGGGGCAGCCTCCGGGCCAGGAGCTGGGCGCCCCGTGCTCCTGGGAGCTCTCCTCCCTCTGAGCACCCGCTGGTGCCTCAGAAGTGAAGGGAGCGACTGATGCTGCAGCGGCATTTGCTCACTTGAGAGCCCACAGATGTGGTATGGAATGCGCACACACGTGCTCACACATGCACAGTGCCCCACGTGTGCACAAGCACACACATGCATGCAACACTAGTAACTACACATGTGTAACATACACACGCCACGTGCTCACACATGGCGGGTCGCATGTATACACACGCACACACACACGCACACGCGCTATTCAGCAAGGACCCTCGGAAGCACAGTCCCGTTCACAGGCACCCACACCCTCGGCTCCCGCCCCCCCAGAAGTGCCTCTGTGGGGCGGGGGGGGCCCTCCTGTCACTCGCACTCTCTTGATCTGCTTGACTTGCCAGTTGCTCTCTATGCCCTCTGAAACGACTGCACCACTGCATGCTCCCTGCTACTCCGCCCCCTCAGGCATGGGACCTTGTGGTGTCTCCCGCACCCTTTCCGCCAGTCCCAGGCTGGCACGGAGCGGGCCGCGGTGTGTGTGAACTAGTCTGAGTGTCGGAGAAGTTCCTGGGGAGGGTGACGTGGTGGGGCGAGTGCCTGCCAGTGCAGGGTGACCGGCGGGTGTGCCCGGCGGGTGTGTCTGCGATTGTGGCCAGGCGGGGCACCCTCTGAGGGAGGGCTCGGAAGTGGAATGCGACCCCCCAGCCTCTTCCCCAGGGGCTGTAATCTGATCCCTGGGGACTCCCCCCAGCCACCCGCCCTCACCCTCGCTGCCTCACTGCGATTCCTTCCCTTCCAGATCCCGGGGCAGAGTCCAGGGCGGCTCAAGGCTCCTCCACACGCGCCCGCTGAACCCTGAGCGCCCTGAGCTGCGGGGATGGGGCCGGCTGAGGGCGGCGCCCTGATCCCCGGGCTCGCCC